GGGTAAAAGCTTTAAAAATGAATTTCAGTAAGGATGAAGATCATTTTAAGCAGATGTCGAAAGGTGGATAGCACCTGGCTTGTTAGCAATATGCATGTAAAGCAATTAAGGGACTTAGTAGGCCATGAACTAATCATGAGTGAGCAGTATGGGTTGCAACAGGAAAAATAGCAATGTGTTTCTAGGCATATTTCAGAAAAGTATAGAATAATAGCTCAAGAAAAATTATAGTATGAATTGGTCCAGTTATGGGCATCACAGTCTAAAAGGATATTGGGCAGGCTAACAATCAAGATTGTTAAAGTTGTGGAAGCCAGGTCCTGTAAGGAATGTTTGGAAGAGTTGGGTGCATCTAGCCTGAACAAGAGTAAAACTATGTTCCATACAGTATGCATTTGGGTTGAAGAATCAAAACTAACGAAGCAAAAATATAATATTAAATGGTGCCACAATAAATTTTCGGTGGGGATTGAGAGACATTGCAAATGTAGACCATTTTAAGCAATAAAACACCAACATACCAAGCATTCATAATGTGTTATGTTACTCATGACATTTGGGCAATTAGAATAGCTGTTCTAATATCTACATGAAGCCGCTGGGTGAGATCATCCGGAGTTTCGGGGTGCGGTGTCATCTGTACGCAGATGATGTCCAACTCTGTCACTCCTTCCCACCTGCTACTAAGGAGGCTGTCGAGGTCCTGAACCTGTGCCTGGCCGCTGTAACGGTCTGGATGAGGGCGAACAAATTGAAATTGAATCCAGACAAGACAGAGGTACTCCTGGTCAGTCGCAAGGCCGAACAGGGTATAGGGTTACAGCCTGTGCTGGATGGGGTCGCACTCCCCTTGAAGGCGCAGGTTCGCAGCTTGGGTGTGATCCTGGATTCATCGTTGAGCCTGGATCCCCAGGTTCAGCGGTGACCAGGGGAGCATTTGCACAGCTCAGGCTCGTGCGCCAGCTGCGCCCGTACCTTGGGAAGTCTGACTTGGCCACGGTAGTACACGCTCTGGTCACATCCCGCCTTGACTACTGCAACGCTCTCTACGTGGGGCTGCCCTTGAAGACGGCCCGGAAGCTCCAGCTAGTCCAGCGCGGCAGCCATGTTACTAACAGGAGCGGGATGCAGGGAGCATACAACGCCCTTGCTGTACCAGCTCCACTGGCTGCCGATTTGCTACCGGGCCCAATTCAAGGTGCTGGTGTTGGCCTACAAAGCCCTAAACGGTTCCGGCCCAAAATACCTGTCTGACCGCATCTCGGCCTATGAGCCCACGAGGACTTTGAGATCGTCTGGGGAGGCCCTTCTCTCGATCCCGCCTGCCTCACAGGCACGCCTGGCGGGGACGAGGGATAGGGCCTTCTCGGTGGTGGCCCCCCGGCTGTGGAACACCCTCCCTGTGGACATCAGACTGGCGCCCTCCCTTATGACATTCCGCAAGAGACTAAAGACGTGGTTGTTTGAGAAGGCGTTTGAGTAAGTGCTGCAACAATTGGCAATGACGATTGGAACGGAACATGGATAACGAGATTTGGATTGTGATTCAATGATGAGACGTTGCGAATGATTTAGTATAACTGTATTATTGATAGTGTCGTTGTTTACTGTTGATGTGATATTGCTTATGTTGTAAATTGTACCTGGTTTTATATGTTGTACACCACCATCAGTCGCCCTAGGGCTGAGAACGGCGGTCTACAAGTGCAGTAATAAATAAATATAAATAAATAAATAAATAGGCTTCAGGCTTGAGGGGAAACTCTCATAGCTTACTGAAAAGAGTCCTCCTCAAACAAGGAAAGAGAAGTGATGAGCCAAGATAGCTGACTCCAACCAGAGAAAATGATTGAGTCTTCATTTGGCATCCTCCCCTCGTAGAGGGTGAGCCAATCATGTAGTTCCTGAAACAGTTCAAAAGGTGGAGTCACATCCTGAGCCATTTTTCCCTAGATGATACTTTAATTGCAGACTAGAGCAGGCATGGCCAAACTTCGCTCATCCAGATGTTTTGAAATTCAACTTTCACAAATTTCTGACAGCTGGTAAACTGGCTGGGATTTCTGGGAGTTGAAGTCCAAAACACCTGGAGGGCAAAGTTTGTCCATGTCTGAACTAGAGCATCCTCTGTAAAAAGCAAGGCTTTTGCAGCCTTAACATGAACACACTGGAGTAATTAGGTTGGTTGGTGGTGACTTATAGGCAACTATTAACTCTCATGACCATAGCTGTCTGTTTTCTGTAAGTAATACTGCAAAAGCCACTGTGTCACCATGCTTCATATTTCTTCCTTTTTTATTTCTGGACTGTGGTTTGTTTGTTGTATTTTTCTCCTTGGTTTTTCCCAGAGTTACACTGGAGGCTGCTTAGATTGCCTTTCATGCCAAGGCCTCAGACTACCTTACTGGCTCTTTTTTCACAACCCTATATTGGCTTGGTTTCTCCTCTTATAGTTCCTTAGACCATAGGTGCATACACTGAGACATTTGCCAACCTTTATAAATCATCACTCCTTTGTAACTCCAAACTGACTGGCCTTTTTTGATGGTAGGTGGTACTTAGACTGTCTGATGCCCAAATCTCCACTTTTCTTTCTCAGCTGGTTCCACTAACTCAGGGCCCTTCTATACAGGCCCTAAAATCTGAGAGAAACTGGAATGAAAGATGACTAGATGACGCTTGTCAAAAAGGCTCGCTGTGTTGCATAATCACCTGAAAAACACAAGTTAAAAATGCGCTTATAAATCCAAGATCGCCCGAAAAATGTGCATATTCACATCACTGTTTATCCCTACATTCACAAAAACATGGGAACTTTGTTGCAATATTCTGGGGTGGACTTCTCCAGTAAATGTGCACATTTTAAAATCCAGAAACAACTGTTGAGAGCTGTAAACAGATGGAACCATGGGCACAAAGGTGGCTAAATGGAAGCACAAATGGAAAACAATTCCCATGAGATCTCTCCACAACCATTCCTTTGTTCTCATATTTATGAAATTAAAACATGGCTTAAATTTACACAGTGGGCACCAGCATGGTAGGCAAGTGAACTCAAGGGGAAGTGGGTAAACATAAAAGGCAGCAGGAGGGTGAGGAGAGATACTGACAAGAAATCTGCTTGTGTGCACATTTGTATATCCACATCAGCGCTTGTGAAGTCCAGTGCATCTCAGAGAATCAATATTAAAAGTTAAAAGAAAACTTCAGGCAGACATCCTACATCCATTTGCAGATTTCTAAAGTCTACTACAAACAAACCTTTCAGGATGTTGGGGACGATTTGCTGGGACGGAGAGCTCCGTGTTTCAATTTACTTTCAGGCACCGTGAATTTTTGCACCACTTCTTTGTCCCAGATTATGAGGCTGTCTGGAAGAGCCCTCAGTCTCAACCTGCAACCAGAAGTCCCTCCTTTCCTCTTAATCATCTTATGTAAAATTCTCTGTTTGCTGTTTGTCTTCAATCTGGGATGTGAACTAATAACCTGTTTTTAAAGATCATATCTGTGTGGTTTATTTTAAAATTAGAAACAATTATATATTATTCAGTGTTGAGAGATGTGTAATATCAGAAAAGAGATGAAAAGAGGAGTGGTAATTCTCTATTCTGAGGGCCCATCCAGACAGCCCCTTTATTGAGGAAACTTCCACAATAAAAAGGGGGCTGTCCAAATGACATTCTGGCCAACCCTCAATTAATTCACCACAAACCAGGAAAACCCTGGTTTGTAGCAAATTAATTAGATAGTGGATTTCTTCTGCTCCTTCCTGAAAGGCGCAGGATAAACCCACTATTTCCGGTGTTTGGACTGCAGTCCAGACACCATTCCCACAGTTTACTGGACTACATTAGTCCAGAAAACTGTGGGAATTCCACCCCACTCCCCCAAAGCCCCCAACCCCCTTTTAAAAGTAAGGAAAACTTACCGGCCTCCATTACAGTGTTGCCAAAGCTCTCCCAGCGGGTAGAAATGACATGCCAGGAGAGGGGTAGAAGGAAAATTGCTCTCCCCCCTCCCCCCCCACTCTCCTGATGCGTCATTTCTACGTGCTGGGAGAGCTCCGACAACACTGTAATGGAAGCCGAGTAAATTTTCCTTACTTTTAAAAGGGCTTTGGGGGATTTGGGGGAGGGGGTAGAGTCTCCAGATGTTCTCTCAGGCCAGACCCGGAAGAGCATCTGCACACCCACCTCAGAAAGCGTGCACTTTCTGGGGTGGGTGTGGGTAGGGGCCCAGGAACATCTGCATTTTTACACACAGATGCTCCTGGGATAAAGGGCTGTGTTGAAGCACCCTGAAAGCTAATGAACTACACTTGGAATATTTTTGGAAATTAGGAGTACTGAAAGAAGTCTTACTGTAATTATATTATTTTCCCACAGTTCTATTAATGTCAATGTAAATGAAATGTATAATTTATAGTTTGGTATAAAGTTGATACATTTATTATTTATAAAACAAAAGGAACGGTTTTCACTTTGTTCACTTTTCTATCTGAAAATAATGCAAAGTCATTTCGTGAAGGATTGTTGAGAGTACAGTAGAAAATAGAAAACAAAACTCTCTAGGATTTCAATTGAATTATTTGTAGATTAATGTGCTTGGCTGGAAAGGTCCATTATCAGCCTACAAGAAACATGGGAGCAATTTTGCCATGCATTCTTTTAGACCTTGATAGACCTTTTTTTTTAAAAAAAAAGTTACAAAGAAGTTGGCTTCCAGGTTACCTCCTCTTGAAAACCTGGGCCTAAAGTAGCTCAGAGAAGACCAGAGATTTTGCAGAATAACCTTCCACATTCCACAGGGTGTTTGAAAGTATTTTTAATGGGAATGGGGGAGCCCTACCAAGGCCCCTGGGGTGAGAAGTGCAGTCCTCTATTGCTATCATTATTTCACATTATACAAATGTTTGTATAAATGTATGGAATTTCTAAAAGACAGAGGACCTCTCTGATATGACTGAAGAAGTCTGATGATTTTGTTCTTTTTTTCCCCAGGAGACACTTATAGACTGGTGTGATGAAAAGGAACTAAACTTGATTCTAACAACTGGAGGAACAGGGTTTGCACCACGGGATGTCACACCAGAGGTGAGATAATATTTTTCTATAAAATTATCTGCACTTATAAAGCACCTGTTTTGTTCTTTACTGTATAGTAAGTAGTTCAGAAGGTATCTATGTGATATGAATGACATGCAATTCTTTATTTCTAAAAGAAATTTTATATATATATATATATATATATATATATATATATATATATATATCTCACTCAGTTTAAAAGAAAGCTATTGATTTTACTGTACTGCAACTTACACATGCATATTGGCTACTCTCCTGTGTTTCTTCTTATCTCCCTTGCTTTACTAGGTGACATATCTATAACTGTGTAAAAAAATTTTCTGTGGCCGTGGCTGTCAGGATATAAGATTGGGTTCTCTAGGGAAGTGTGGATAATTACTGGAGAACATGAAAATCTTTTCTCATACCTACTGAGTATACTCTTTGATTTGCCCTACAGAAAGTGTGCCAATCCACTCATGTTCTTGGTGTTTTTGTAAATTTTTATCTTCCCAAAGATTTTTTTCCCACTGGGATCTTGATATTGTGGGATCATTGCAATTATGCTTCTGTTCTTTTCCTGTGAGATAACATGTGTAGTGTGGGCAAGACAAGAAACTTTTTCTCCATGTGTTTTATGGTAGGGGATACCCAAACACTTTCTTAGTCCTAGCAAATGTGAATACTCTTCATGTATGCATTTCATAATTTTGAATGAGGAAAAGGAGCATGTGTAGTGCATTAATGTGACCAGCGTAATCACAAAGGTTTTTTTTTTTTTTACATACCACCGATATCATGTTAGAAAGAAAAATCTAGTTGTAGGGGCAGAGGTAGATCTGTGTGATACAGTGAGGGATTATTCTATATAGATGTTACTCCTATCTTCCCTGCTGTGTGTGTGGATGCTGCTCTAGAGAATATGTGTTCTGGATATTAATACTGACTGTTTTGTGAAAACGATTAAAGCTTTCATTTTCAATTCATTTTCATACCAGCTCTCAGAAATAGTGCATCAGATGTAAGGCTACTTAGTTTTGTCATGCATTTTATGTATGTTGGGAGTGACAGATTAATTTGGTTTATAATGTATTCTTGGTGATCTTTCAATAATTCAAACACATGGCATACATTAGTATTTTTATAATATACTATTTCATCAGTCTGTTTGAAAAGGAATTTGACTGAAATTGCACATTTTGTCAGAGAAGCAGCTGAATTTTTATTCAACTGACATATTTTTTAAAAAGTTTGGGACTGTGTGTGTGTGTGATTACTGTGTAAAACAGCGATACTTTGATTATAAGCTTTCAAGATAATGTATGAATTATGTGTTCAGTATCAGTGTTCACTCTTACTACTTCTAGACTGTGATGTTTTGATAATCAGCTAATTGTGCTGATGCTGCAGTTGATCAATTTGAAAATAAAATGATGGCCACTCACAAACAGAACCACAGTTGCTGCACATTTGGAAAAGCTGGGAAATGGGTGGGGGTGGATTAAAATAAGTCGAAAGGAACAACCTCCCTTTTCCAGAGAAACAAGAGAACAACATTTGTTGGAATTTTAAAGCATAGATTAACTAATTGCAAAAATTATAGAGGACATAACTTATTTCAGTGGTTGTCGCACCCGTTTTTAGTTGTATATGTCAATTTTCTGGCTTTGATCTTTAAAAAATTTAAATATGACAAAATGCTGAGAAAGATTAATGTGTTCAGTATGACTCCTGGTCATAGCCATTAGCAACTGAGTAAATTAGTAGTTGTGTGTGTACATGCACACATATACCTTCAAGTCACCTATTGACTTAATGATGTCCCATTAATTTGATATGGTTGTTTTAGGGAAGAAGTAAGCAGAAGCTGTTTGTGCCAGCTCCTTCCCCAGAAATATAGCCTGGTATTCATAGTGTTATATATGGCTTCAAGTTGCCTGTTGACGTATGGTGACACAATTAACTTAACTGGGTTTTCTTAGGAAAGGAAGACTCAGGTGTGATTTCTTCAAATTTCTTCCTCTGTATTTGTTGACTGTTTTGCATCCAAGTACTAACCAGAACTAACCTTATTTAGCTTCAAAGATCAGACAGGACCTTGGGTATTTAGGTTTGTAGTATTGTAATGATTAATAATTTGTCTTTAGGTTTCCTTATCTTAATTTCTTTATGGGTTAAAACATTCTAACATTAGGAAAATAAAGAACCCCCCTCCCTCCAAAAAAGATTTACTTTATATTCTTATCATCATACATGGTGTATAGTATCACTCATTTTTCCATTAAGTGTCAAATCAGATAGTATCAGAGTCAAATCTGATAGCATAAGCATTCACAAAAAACATCATGAAGAGATTTGCTACAAGCTGTTTGTACAAATAAATAGGGTAATAGATTAAATTGCGCATGGAATGAACCATAGTATATGCCAGTTGACATTTTTTTCCCCAAACAGCCAAGCATTCTGCATCTCATGTGCAAGAAGAAGTGCAGAGTACACGTATGGTGACTGCCCCAGGAACAAAACTGATCATGCTGATTAGGCGTTATTCTATCAGCAGGACTTCCCACTATATTTAGTAGACTATCTGACAGGATTGTTAACACAGAGAGGGATTACTCAGAGAGAATTGTGTGTAATTATCCATCAGAAAATGCCATAGAAAGACATAAAACTTAATTTGGTGATATACTAATCTATTTCTCAACATGATAATACTATTATTTATGTATGTATTTATTTATTTAGGACATTTATATCCCACCCTTCTGAACCCTGAAGGGGGATTCTGAGCGGTTTACAATTGGCACTCATTAGATGCCACGCAAACAATAGCAATAAAATCACATTAACTAAACAATAAGTTAAAACATTCATTTAAAATCTAACAAATCCAAAGCCAAATCCGAATCCACATCCAAAGTCAAAGTCTGAGGTCTGTCCGTTGTCAATCAAAGAAATAGTATGCATTATTGATGCTGCGCCTGCTGCTCAAATGCTTGGTCCCATAACCATGATTTAAGCTTTTTTCTAAAGGACAGGAGGGAAGGGACCAGCCTGATTTCAACAGGAAGTGTGTTCCACAGACGGGGAGCCACCATAGAGAAGGCCCTCTCTGTTCCCGCCAGTCGCTCTTGTGAGGGTAGCAGGACCGAGAACAGGGCCTCCCCCAATGATCTTAAGCACCGAGGTAGATCGTAGAGGGAGATAATACTATATTTGATCCTGCTTTTTAAGAAATGAACAATACTTCATGGTTACTTTGTACTTTGTTAGCTGTCAAAAGAGATATTGGCTGATTAATTTTGTGAAGACAGAATCATGACAGATCAATTCTACAATCTGTAGTCTCTCTAACTACATTTCCAATTGCCAACCTATTCCTGCGGGTGAATGATGGTCATCTCTAATCCAATCCCGCTTGTAAGCAATTTAATTGCATTGATTTTTTAATGCTTTCCCTTGGTTTTCCCATATTATGTTTATTTCTATAATGTTTTGGTGTGTGCCAGGTATTGAATATTTGCCTTTGTATGTGTAAATCACCCTGAGTTCCCTGGGGGAGATAGGGCGCTCTAAAAATAAAGATGATGATGATGATGATGATGATGATGATGATGATTGGCTACCTTCATTTTTTAAAGTTATATACAATTTAAGATTTTTTATCTTTAATTCAGAGCAGTTGATTTGATATACAGTTTGCCCTTCAAATTGATTGGGGTTAGGGGCACAGGACCCCTCAAAAATGAAAAAGCGCAAATAATAAAATTGCTGGTTTTCAACCTGAGAAAACACCTCCTAAGAAATATCTGTTTTTTCCAGCATAACTCTGTGGTCAACTTCTGAAAGACATAGAGATTCCTAGAAAGGTGTTCTCTCTAGGAATCTCAATGTCTTTCAGCATCACTCTGTGATCATCTTTCCATCAAAAGTTGACCTAGAGTAGGGATCTATAGAATATTTTAATTAAATCAATGACATTAAATTTGTGAAAGTCAGTTGCACAAATATGAAGGGATGACTGTAATCTAATCATACATAAAATACTTCTTAGCTGTATAAGTAATAGCTAACTGATAGGACAAAAATATCTTAGGGTGAAAAACAAAGAACAAATTTAGCCTCTTTTGGAATATCTCTTTTGTACATATAGCCGAGACTGGAGTGTACTCTTCGGTGGAATCTTTCTCAGCTTGTTCCATACTCTGTTTTACAGAACCATGCTGATTGATCAGGGGTGTAGAAATGAATATTGTAGTTTCTGGTTGCATTGATATGATACTGTCAGATGAAACCACAGTGTATACTTCCTTCAGGGCAATTTTTTTTCCCTCAGAGGAAGGAAGTATAGTTTATGCCTGCTGTCTTGTGCCAGGAACTAGAAGAAGGGGGGATGGTTATAAACTCTGTGTGAAATAGTCTGCAAATGTATTGAATGTTTGTCCACAGGAAGAAAACATGGGAAATAAAGTTAATGCTTTTGTCACTTCTCTTAGAGAAGTATACACATTATCTAGAAAACATGTTGGATTACTGTCAGAAATTATAGCGTTGGCATGAACCTGCTTCCCTTGTGTACATTTTCAAGGATTTTTATATTTCTGGCTTGTCTCAGAGCCCTTGCTTTATGCTATTCTGGGCCCTAGAAGCTTTCATCATATGCTGTTTGTCACCCACCCAGGAATTAGTGCTTACAGCTCACAGGGTTCCACTGAGGCTAATCTCCTTACATATGTCATTCCTACCAGTCTGGATAACAATGACATTGAGAGGGCTGTTCTTATATGACATATTCAGACGGAGACTGCTGAACAACAGATTTACGTGTTTGTGGCAAATTTCTTCTCCTTCCAGTAGTGTTTTTCAATAATAGTAGGTTTTTCTCCTATGTACCTTTCCACAGCACTAGCCACTGAGCTGTTCTATTACAGTAAGCTGGTTGTCTCCCCAACTTCAGTGGTGTACAATAATAATAATCTAAAATGGCAGCCCTGCTCTCCGGGAAACAGTATGACAAGGGCCTA